TTTACAATGGATGTCACTATGTATCCAAAGAAACTAATATAATCACACTTCTTGTTTGTATATATCATTTTCGGTCATATTCTTAAGATCTACTATACTCTTTAGAAGAGGTTTCTAGAGTATAAGACTTGTAATTTAGAATAGAATCTAAACATAAACTTCTAGATGCTCCTAACATTACTAAACAGTGAAAACACATAATTATATACATATGTATACGTGTGAGTCTATCGTTCGTGGATCACCAATGATATGCATGACCTTTGCCTTGTGTGGTGGACATGGTGAGGGCCTATTTGATTCGCATAATTCTAAAAAACATAGAAAAAGGTTGCAATGTCATGTCCATTTGATCCTATAAAATTGTGTTTCTCCTTTTTGGTAAAAAGTTTTGAATTTTAGAAGCATTTTAATGATTATATTCCATAATAAATTTTCTACTTGACTTGTTTGATTCATAGGATACTATATAGTTTAGTTATTATGTATTTCGATGAAAAAATTCATCATAGTCTAACCTCATCGAAATTTTACTTTTGTTTCTATGACAACCATCCATACATTAATATTTCAGGGAAGTTTCAATGTTTTCTTTTTAATTGTGGAACCAAAGAAAATCTATTACATATTCATGCATTTTTTATTCCAACTGGATCCATGTGCCATGACATCACAATCACGTGCTCTTATAATCCAACAAAAAAGGCCCAAAGTTGTTTAAATGTATCACAATAATACAAAGAGTTCTTGAAAAGAGGTTTGAGTGGATGCAGATCCTTCCATAAAACGTAGTATGAGGGAATACAATGGAGAGAACCTAACCTTTTATATCTAAATAGTTATTCTATATCAACCTATTTCTCTTAACATACAAGCATACCACCCTAGTATACAGCCTGCATGAAAGGCCCACCGCAACATGCAATCATGCATATGAAAAGGTCCACCTCAACATGCATATATGCATGAGAATTTCCATTCTGTTATGTTATTTATATTTATGTAATATTTTACAACTATATAGTAATCAAACACAATAATCATATGTATTTTTAGTATTAATTCTCATCTTATTAATTACTCAAAATATTCATATTTCATGCAACCAAGTATCGAAGAATCTATTGATTGTTCCAAGCTTATTTGTACTCATCTTTTCTGAAAAACATGTGAACTGAGACATGCATGTTGATAGTTTGTTCCTTATAGCATCTAGAGCCGGTCTTACCAAATCTAACCCCCTAAACGCCAATGGACGCGCCCTGTCAGTGGCCAGACGTGTCCATTTTGATACCCTATTTGTCCGTCCATACAGCCACACACCTCTTTTTTTCCTCTCATATGTCAGGTCACTTGCACGTGATTGGTGGAGATGAAGAGAGAGAAGGAAAAGAAAGAATAAAGGTGGTCTCGGTGGACGTGTTCTATGTGGCGGGCTAACCGGGCGCGTCCGCGAGCCCTCATATCGTCCCTACATCTGTCCTCGATATGAGGTTTCGTGGACAACCCAGACGTATAGGTTTTTTTAAAGAGGAATATATTAATATCACCAAGATATCAATTGCATGCAGCCTCTGCACCAACATGACATCGAAAGACATACATGATGCACACAAGCAAGAACAAAATAAAAAAGAGAAAAATAAAAAAACAAAGACCCCATCGCGGTGACGAAACACTCGCAATAACAACACTATAACCATCATCAAAGACAACACTCAGACAGCAAATGAGGTTCTCCAAAAGCGATGCCTCCAAGAAGAAAACGATGCAAAACGTTGCCGTCGCCGATCAAGGATCTCAAGTTTTCACCCTGAATAAAGACCGAGATCCCAAAACAATGCCTCCAGCAAGGTCATTGCCAGGTAGAACCAATGAAGGCCAGACCTTGGGCTTTCACCCTAGAAATCGTGGCTTGGTGCTCGAAAGCACCACCAAAAATGCTTTCCACCTGTGTTCACTAGTAGAAAACGGAGCTTTAAAACCGGTTCGTAAGGGCCTTTAGTGCCGGTTCTGCAACCGACACTAAAGGGTGGAGACTAAAGGCCCCCCACCTTTAGTACCGGTTCGGCTCGATTTTCAATTTTCTGAATTATTTGATGATTTAGTCTCTAATCACCCCTCTTAACTGCTCAAGTGTGGATCACTCATTCCAAGTCGTCTAACTTCCCGGCCGGTCACCCATCCTCTCATTCCCCCAGCCTGAGCACACTTAACTTCGGAGTTCTATTCCCTCTACTTTCCAAGTCTGCACTTATTGTTTTCCTGACAAATGTAAGCTGTCAATCCTATTAACCCTCAGCACACTAGCTTGAGCATTAGGTCACACGTTTTACCGTTTGAGTTTGGAACTATTATTCTAGAAAACAGTTAGTAACACTAATATTTCTTGAATAAGATTGACCACAGTTTGACCATAGTTTGACCAGATTTGATGATAGTTTGACCAGATTTGACCAAAAGTCAAAAATTTGAAATAATTATTTAGTAACACTAATATTCTTGAATAATTATGTAGCAACATTAATACTTCTTGAATAATTAGTTTGACCATAGTTTGACCAGATTTAACCAAAATAAAATAAAATAAAATTTGAGTATATCTTTTTTCCTTTTGGAATTTGAGGATTCTAAAAAATTGCAAACAGGCCATAGGCGGTCAAAACCGGATGCGGATTTTCGTGCTGAATTTTTTGATATATTATACGTTTTTTTCCGACATCGTATGCAAAAATTATAGCCGTTTTACATTTTCCCTACACTTTTTGCAAAACATGTCCAAATTTAAGTTTTTTAATTTTCCTAACTAGTAGAAGTAGTAATATAACAACATCTCGAAGAATTTTATTTTTTGAATTTTTTATCATTTTCTTTTGTATTTTTCAAAACTGAAATGGCGATACACGCTGGGGGGGGGTAGAGTTTTGAAAATTGCCCTATAGTCCCGGTTTGTGTCTTCAACCGGGACTATAGGTCAAACCCCTTTAGTACCGGTTCGTGGCACGAGCCGGTACTGAAGGCCCTTCAGTACCGGCTTGTGCCACGAACCGGTACTAAAGGTGATCGCGGGGCCCCGGCCTGACGCCAGCCTGCCACCACCCTTTTAGTACCGGTTCATGGCACGAACCGATACTAAAGGGTCAAAACGAACCGGCATTAATGCATAGCCGTTCGAACCGGCACTAATGGTACCATTAGTACCGGGCCGAAATCGAACCGGGACTAATGTGTCTCACATTAGCTCCTTTTCTACTAGTGGTTGCCGACACCTCCTGCCAAGGCCGCCGCTGCAAAGTACTCAACACCCGACACACAGGAAAAACATGCGCCGCTATTCTTCCACGCAACCAAAAATCCTCTTCGCCCTCACAAGTCTCCGATCACAACCACCATGACTTTCTTTACCTTTACCAATGACGTGGAAATATATGCTTAAACATGTTCGATGGAGCCGGCAAGACGACAAAGCTTCGCGCCATGCCCTCATGAAGCCTCTCTATCCGAAGATGAGGGCGGGTCTGACCTAATCAATACCGATCTAGATATCCAGTGGCCCCATGCGCCAAAAGCTGAGATCTCTGAGCGGAAGACCGGAACCCGTCGGTGTCCAGATTGAGGAGGCCGGCATGAAGCATATCAAAGTTTTGGAGCTTGAAGAACAGTAGGGCCAACCACAGTGGTGCTCCCCTAGATCCCGACGGGACAGATCTGGGCAGTGCCTCCCTGCATCCCACCGCAGACACATTGCAGCCGCTTGAGTAGCTGTAGAGCACCATCGCGCTGGAGCAAGACCCAACAGTCACCGGCCCGCACCGCCGCGGCCCGCTGCGCCTGTATGCTAGATCCAGCCACCACAGCAAGCGAGCACCACCGCAATGAAGTCCCCCACGTTGCCACGACACCAATGCAGGCAGCCAATGCCGGTGAGTTGCCATGCCGCGGCACTCTACACCAGTGCCGTACCCAGGACCGGGGAGGCCGCGCCGCCCCATTGTGTGAGGGGAAGAAGACGCCCCGCCGCCACCACCACCGGTTGAGCTTCGCCTGGCCACACTGATGGGTGGCGGTGAGGGAGGGGGAAGCAGGAGGAGGCGACTAGCGGTGCAGATCGAAGGCCCCTCCCCGTCGCCTCACGAGGGCGCCAGAGGGAGGGGATAGGGTTGAGGCGGGTTTTTTTCACGTCCCCATTGCCTGTCTAGATTCTGAACGTATTGGTATGATATGAGAGATCCACTTGGGTCACTTTCTTCATTTTATCTCTCGTCCGGTCACTGACTGATCACATCCACAGACGTTTGAGGAGGATTTAAGAATGCCAACAGTAGATGCTCTAAGCTTACTATCCGGAGGGCCAAAAAGGAATAACTCTCACACAAAGAAGAGCAAATCCAATTGTGTATTGTTCGGTTGATTCACCTCATCATTACTATGGTTGTCTTCTTTCGATGCTGATTTTGGCTTTTCCTTGCTACACGCGACATGGTTTTCTCCTCCTCAGAAAATAACTTAGGGTCACATGATCGCAATGTTCTTTTTGTCACAAAAAATAATAATAACAATATTATTTTTTTCTTACAGTGCTGAAATTATCCTGATGTGACAATCTCTAAAAAATGATTGACATGGAGATTAGTACTCGGTAATTCCTTGTCGAACAAAAGAGAGTATATAATACTACAATTACTGAGTACTACAATTAAGGGCATATGTAAATCAGTTCCTTAAAGTTTACGTCTGAATTGATTTACATATTTGCATCTTGCATCTTGCTAACGATCGAACGCACAAGAGATATTCTAAAAACGTCTCTCGCCGTGTCGCGGTTTTTCCTCCGACCACGATCTGGGCCGTTCAAGACGGATCGAACAGCGCGCGGCAACTGAAGCGGTTTTTCCTCCGGCGAGAGCACGTCCGCGACGCCGCGCCGTATCTGAACCAAACAGCCACCGGCCTGTGGAATGGAAAAGCAGAACATGCGTGTGTCCGGCTGTCCGGCTGTCCTACCAGCACTGGTCGGTCTCCCATGTCCTCCGCCGGAACGCTGGCACCGCCGCTCCAGCCCGCCGCATCATCATAGCCGCGGCGCGGCCGGCCACGTTCCGGTCGTAGCACGCGCGCTCGTCGGGGTCGGCGAGCGTGGCGTAGGCCGCGTGCAGCCGGATGAAGCCCTCGTTGCCACCTCCACCTGTGCCGTCCGGGTGCACCTCCCTGGCAAGGTGCCGGTACGCAGCCTTGATCTCCCCCCTACTGGCCCGCGCGCCCACCCCGAGCACCTCGTAGTGCGTCCTCCCTGCCACCGGCATAGTCGCAGACGCCCGCGCCACCACGCACCGCCGAGATCCGGCAACGCGACCTGGAAGAGCCACGGCTGCAGCAGCGAATGTAGCCATCGATTATCTGTTCTCCGTTCTTGATTCTTTGATCCAAAGCAGAGTACTTGTTCGTTGCACTGTTGTTCGTCCTCGTCGAGGAGAACGGAGGCGCCGATGGATTTATAGGGGCTCTGGGGGTCTGTGGTGCCACTCGTACGCCCAGCAGTCGATCTTATCTCCTTGGAGAAGAAGATTATGATTATGTGTGAGCTCCTGCTGGTGAGTCACAGCCACCAGCGGCTTCTCCTAGTGCCCAGGCTGTTGCTTTCGCGCCACCGACGTGGTCCGGTTGCCGCAACTTCCACCTATTTTACGCAACCTCCCCCTTTATTAGATTCGTGCCTGAATTTTGCTCCTCTCTGACCGGACCCCTTGTTCAATAATTCTGAATGCCCCACTTGGACGGAGTAGGATAGATTTTTCGTTCTTGTCCAAGGCCCCAGCTGAGCTAAGCTTGCTCCTCCATGCGACGATGATAGATCGATCCTGGATGTGACACATTCTATTATCATGTAGACTTTCAAGGACTTACTGTTTCTTTGGTGTTTGTGGTTATCTGAACCCGGTGCCGATCGTCTGAATGTGAAAGCTACGTACGTTTGTGCAATGATCCGCCATCACCTCCCATTTTTTCTGCCCTGAACTTGCTTGTCACGACCAAGGACTGTTTTTGTTCTGCATCTACAATTCTAGGACGAATATACCTCTGACTTTTACGTTTTCAATTCATTCGCATAAAAGACTTTTACTTATTTTTCTACGGTATACATTATAAAATTGCTGATGATCGCCACTTCTCTGTAAGCAAACCTCTGATTTTTCTGCGCCATGTCTTCAGCTAGATTCTAATATAACCCACCTGATTATTTGTCTGTATCCATATGATCCAAGATACTACGTATGTCTAAACAACACCAGTCTACCAATAGAGTATGGTATCGGGAGAAATCATGCAAAACTTGCAGCCGTGTTCGCTTAACTTGTTTCACTTGCTTACTTATCATCACACCCGTATGACAATCAGTTCACGATTGAATCTTATGCCGTCAGAAATTCTGTCTCAAGTCTACACTCTTGAGGGCGGTGCTCTGCACTGTCTATGCAAGTGGGAATGCACACGTTTGTCCTGTACTACGATCCTGTCGCCGGTGCGTCTGCACGGCGCTGATAAGTAGGTTATCAAGCTGCTGGTGGCAGAGCTACGAAAGGTGGAGTTATCAATTTGGTGGGCAGGGAGGTGGGTCGTCCAGGATCGATGCCAACCACGCCACACGCGCGCCATGGTGATGGCGGAACGCAACGACCCGGAAGAAGACGGCGTCACATACATGTGGGTGGTGGAGCTCGGGGGGAGGGAGCAGCAGACATGAACGTCCCCGTTCAGGAACATATATTGTTCAAAATGTTTGCACTATTGATATGTACTGATAAGATGGGAGGTGTATAAGCTCTGGGCTACCTGAGTTGCTTCCTTTTATTGTGGCTTAATGATTTCTTGGTCAACAGAAGAGAAGGGCCATGCAGAGGCATGCCAATGAGAGTAGAGACACATCTTCACAAACAATTGATAGAGACGGGTAGACCATAGAATATATCTTTGTTTTCTGGTTAGTTATTTTTTGGTCACTACAACGATACTATATTCTTCAATCTCTAAGTTCAGTCAAGTTGCTAAAATTATGAAAAATAATGTAGCGAGTACCCTAAGGGTCACCATTTTTTATTATGAGCTGTAACAAACAAATATAGCTATACAGATGATACAAACTTCAATACTCATAACCCATTTAACGCATGATACAACATGATAGTATGTACACAGTTTAAGAATAAAAGAGTTAATTATTGGTTGTGCTGTCATCTAGAATGCACAAACATAGTTGCAACATGACAGTCAAAACATGATTTAAGTATATATAAGCTCTTCTACGGTGCTTGGCGAGCTACGACTTGTAATTTCGCATAACTACATCTCTAATTCTCCTGACAGTCGGATCTGGAAAATCATTTACGGATTTATTTTTCTGTAAAATGCCTAAAATGGTAAAGTTGTAATCCATTCTCTTCTTTCAATCCGTTCGTCACAACAGTAATGTCCCCCATCCCCAACACAGATTTACCCAGTTCAGGTCCATAGCCGCCGTCGTTCCGATCAATAAATCCACCGGCGGCCACGATCCAGGCAATGACAAGCAGCACTGGTCCGCCTCCCTGGTGTCGCTCTTGCCGCCTGGGTTCCGGCCCTCCCCTGCCCCACTGCTCGCTGCGGGGCACCGAGTCCGCCGAGCCTCCCTGCCACACCAATCTCCGTGCATAATCAAAATACATGTATCCAAAGTTTGGCAAAGTTTGCTAATATAGAGGGAGAGATGAAGATGGTGTTCCTACCCTGCCTGCACAAGACGCAGGAGATTATGGCTCACTCCACCATGTCCTACACCGCCAAAGCTCACCATCCATGTCGAAATCGACCAGGCCTGTCAGGTATCTTCGTGTCTATGGGCTGGCTAGCTGATCACGGAGCAACTGGGCCTGATAGAGATGTTTCTTTATCTATACAGTCAAATGAACCAATGTAAATTTAATCTTGTTTCATTGCAGGTGTTTTAGTGTGAATCTATGTTGAGTCGATATAGCTAAGTTCAATATCGGCCACTGACTAGTAACATAGATGATGGGCCGGTGAGAAGTGTGCACGAGATCCTATCTCTTACATCCAGTTGATTTAGTTGAGCATAGAAATTCAATCTGAATTTGTTTGTGCTCTTCTATTTCTGACTTTTTTTGCTTTTAGTGTGCTGCAACGTGCTGTCTTCACATCTTGAAGCAGATTGTACATACAGGTGATAAAGTTGAAGCAGAGTGAGTGGCTGCCATCTTCGGTGTGGCTGCAGAGTGAACAAACTGCCCTGCCCCAAACCACGTAGGTATCGGTAAATTCCTTGGTCTATTTTACAGTTTGTTGAAATTCTTCAACGAAGCACAACAATCGCCTTATGTTTGTCACCAAAAATATTCAGTTTTGTATATCAATCAGCAATAGTATCTTGGCCAGATTATAATACGACTGGATGGAAAGAGAGTTGGTATGCATTAACCCAGGTTGCACCATATATAGAGTATTTACAGTAGGGATGTGATCTCTGAATCAACGTGTCAAACAGTAGACAACCTATCTCATGTTTCAGAGAGTTATCCTTCTAATATGTATGACAGTACAAAATTGTTTGGCTTCTTTGTTCGTCGATTCAGTGTAAAATGATTATCCATATATCTTGCCCTTTTCTCCTCCGTGAAACTATGTTAATAATGTACGCAATGATTAGATGTCCGGTGAAAGGGTGCACATACGGAGCAGCATACTGTTAGGGTTAAGGCTAAACTGTCATTGCAACCTTATTTCAAACTTTTGTAGGTTGTATCTCACCATGATGGATGTTTACCGAGATGCTCTATGTGAATCATAGTATCATGTGCTAAACTTTATCTCCCATCCGCCAAATTGTGGAGGACTACAGATGAAACAATCTAACACAGCCAGAGATATCATTATAGGACATTAAGTTGTAGGTAGTAACAACAATGAGAAGTTTGTATGCTTTCGGAGGACAAGATGTCAACATCTTTATAAGCCTCCAGAAGCAACGTAAGACAGTAAACAGATCTTAGCACCCTTTGTAACTCTGAACCTTTTATCTCGAGGGGAATATGTGAGCATGGAAATTCTTTTACTTCCAGTACATGATTGAGACTAGTTGTTCTCTGAGTGCAGGATTAATGCGGACAAGACAATAGCTTTCAGCAGCCCCTTGTTCAGAAAATTGTAGGTGTTCCTACAGGGGGAAGACCCTCTGTACTGCATAGGCAGACATCGTACAAAATCAAAGAACTACGAGATCTGTACTGAACTACGAGATCAACTCTGGTTTGTACACTACCGGACTCGCGGTCTATGCCTACGGCCACGGGCCGTCGGCATAGGCCCCTAGGCCGTCGACATAGACCTATGCCGACGGCAGCCGTCGGCATAGAGCCGTCAGTCTAGATTACGTCAGCGTACTCCTGTCAGACCGTCGGCATAATAATGCCGTCGGCATAGGGGTCTATGCCGACGGCCCTGGCGCAGCCGTCGGCATAGTTTAGCCGTCGGCGTAGTTTTCCGTCTGACGGCAACGGACGGCGCCGTCAAACTGCTGGCAGGCCAGGAGGCGACACGTGGCAGGGCTATGCCTACGGCAAAGCCGTCGGCATAGGTTTAATCTATGCCGACGGCTTTGCCGTAGGCATAGCCCAGCCACGTGTCGCCTCCTGGTGTAACCTGGTGGCATGGCTATGCCTACGGCCAAGCCGTCGGCATAGATATATAAATCTATGCCGACGGCTTGGCCGTAGGCATAGCTGTGCCACGTGTCGCCTCCTGGTGGCTCCTAAATTTATCTATGCCGACGGCTTTGCCGTAGGCATAGTTTTTTTTTATTCCCTGTTTTCTCTTTTCCAATTCATTTGACAACATTTCAAAACAGAATAATATGAAATATGACAGTTCATCAACATCATTTAAACATAGTCAAGTTCATCATCTAAAGATCATCACCGGCGAAAGTCCACGAACATAAGAGTAGTGCAAGACATGAAACATCATAAAAGTTGAAACATGAAAGACATGGCACAACGACCGCATACACGGAATCATCATCGACATCAAGCACCACCGAGTCCACCTCCTCCAAAACCACCACCACCACCGAGTCCACCTCCTCCAAAACCACCACCACCACCACCGAGCCCACCTCCGCCAAAACCACCACCAAGTCCACCTCCGCCAAAACCGCCACCGCCAAGTCCTCCTCCGCCAAAACCGCCACCGCGACCACCATCACTCTGCCAGATCGGAGTGACTGGGGTCGACGTAGCAGGAGTCGAGCCACCGGTCCCCTACGTGTTTGAAAGAAGATTCTAACGGTAAATATGACATGATAGTGTTGAATGAACGAGAACTAGTTTGTCATTAGTTAGGA